ATATTCCTCTATTTCTTCAATTAAGGGCTAAAAATAATTAAATGCATATAATTTAGGGAGAATTTCATATATGCCCCTTTTAAACTTCAAAATATCATATTTGCCCAGCTTAATTTCTTAATATCATATTTACCCTTCATAAACCTTCAAAATATCATATTTTCCCAAATCATTTTTTATAATGTTTTTAATATTTTATAATCATTTTTTATAACTTAAAATTACTGTAATAATTAAAAATTTTAACGATATTATCTTTAGTTCTATGATAATGGAATGTGAACTTCTAAATTGTTGGAATGTCGTCCTCTTGACAAACAAAAATATTCATCTTCAACCCTCTGTATGAAATATATACTTTGATTGTTTAGTTTTTTTTTGTTGTTGTTGGTGATTATGTTGTTGATGAAGGATATTTTAGATATTACCATTGATATTTTGATGTTTAAAAAGTGCATATACGATATTTTGATATTTAAGAAGGGCATATATGATATTATGATGTTTAAAAAGGACATATATGATATTTTGAAATTTTATTAATGGTAAATATGATATTTAAAATTTTTATAAAGGGTTAATATGATATTTAGAAATTAAGTTGGGTAAATATGATATTTTGATGTTTAAGAATGACATATATGAAATTCTCCCTATAATTTAAATGGATTGTTAAAAATGTTAAGCGGAATTTTTTCAAATTCATAAAATCTAATAAAAAATTGAGTTTTATTTTCTCTCATCTTTATTATATCATTCCAATGTACACAAATAAGTAGTTTGATACTCAACCAAAATAAGCTTAAAACCGAATAATAAACAAAAAGAAATTTCAAAATTTTCAATCCATATATTGAATTTCGAATGTACTAAAAAAAAATTACAAGGTTGGTGATCGTATCTTGAGTAGGGAGGGGACTGTTTTGCATTGGAGCTGGTCTAGACAGCTTAGGCATAACCATTAAGCTTTTGTTTTACTAAACCTATCAGCTACCATATTAGAGGTGAAGTTGGTTGATGTAGCTTACTCATGGAAATGGAAAGGAGATAGCTCTCGTATGTTCTTGATGTCTTCGTTATTCGTTAAGGTGCTTAATTGCTTATAAGGTGGGTAGTTCTGAAAAGCAAAACAGTGTTAAATGGGTTAATTGAATTCCTTTGAAAACCAATTGTTTTTTTTGGAGGATGCTTCTAAACCGTGTTCCTGTTACTGTTAACCTTGTTGTTCGAGGAGTTGTCTTACTGTCCTCGTAGTGTGCTTTCTGTAATAATGAGGTTGAGGATTTTGATCATGTTTTCTTCAACTGTCATTTCTCTTATAGTATTTGGAATTGGTTCAAGTCTTGCAATAATTTTTTATCTACTATCATTGTAAAAAGAGAGGATATTGTCCAAACTATGAATTTCAAAGGCATGGGCAAAAGAGAATTCAGTTGGAAAGCTCGGAATTTGTTGATTTTCAAAATGTTGAGGTGCGCTCCATTAAAGTTGGAAGATGATTTACAACTAGCTGCGTTTAATTGGATAAAACATCATACAAAATTTTCTAATTTATATTGGTTTAATTGGTATAATTTTCTTTTGTAACCGGCTTGCTTGATAGTGTTTGTTGTTTAATGCATCCGTCGTTAAAAAAAAAAAAAAAAAAAAAAAAAAAAAACGAATTTGAAATTTGAAATTGATTTTTAAGAATAAAAATTCTCAAAATTTTTTGTGGGAAAAGGTAATTCTGAAAATTGCAAAATTCTAAATTCTAGGTTGTTTATCAATTTTCAAAATGGTTAGGTCATTATTTTATGTGAGTTGTTTTTATGGCGATTAGGGTCAATATTTCTTAAAAGAAATGGAGTAGAATCAGTTAATAATGTCACACTTAGGTAGCAGGATATAATTACTTATACATGATATACACTTTCAAGACAAATTCTTTAAAATCTTATGAAAAACACAATCGACAATCACGAGTTGTTGTACTTTCAATAGGTAGACGTACAACTATTCATTATTTTTTTTATGTGTATTTAAATATTGAAATTATTGGATGCATAGTATAGTATTATATATAGTGCTTTTCTCACTTTTCACTTTTTTCCCTTTTAAAACTAATTCTTTAAATTATTTAATGCTCCTAACTTGGGTTTGCTGTATGTTTTCGTAGTGGTACAACGACCTCTTTATATATGTATTTGGACGATATTGGTAATCAAGCATACCCAATACTACAAAAGTATATATTTATTTTTAATAAACTAATCTAAAAATAATTGTTTCCCTTCTTTGCTCAAGTGGCTTAGATTTATGTTGTCATTAGTAGTGTTTCTTCATACTACACCACTTTTTGTTTTCCGAATTCCAGCATAATTATCTATTATTAGTATTGATATTTGTTGATTGAATAGAAGATACAAATCCAACATCTTTATCTGATCCAATAAAAAGAATATCAAATATAATAGAACCGAATTAAAGACTTTTAATTGTGGCATAAACAATTTAAATTTGATCGAATCAGACACAAAATTTTACTAAATTCAATAAGAGACATCAAACAACCTTGAGTCTTAACTCTTTGACCAAATTATATAGATGTAAGAATGTTATTATACACATGGTAGTTTTCTTAAAACTTATAAATGCTTCATACCAAGAATTAAAATATTATTAATTTTTTTTAATACATTAGTTGTGAGACCCATATATTATATAGATTAATTTTAAAAAAAAAGTTAAATATAAATATCAAAATATTTTTGAGAACTTGAATTTATAAGAAAATAAGGAAAATAATGAATTATTATAATTGAAATGTATTTTATCTTTTAAATTTAAACAAATAATTTAAATAGATAAAAAACTAATGAGCTTTAATTTGATAATTCTGAAATTAAAAGATAAATTAATTAATAAAATTAATATCCACTTATTATTACATTTATTGCAATTATTACATTAAAATATTAAGTTGAATTTAATAATATAAAAAAACTTATAAATTGACATATGAAAAAAAATTCAAAATAACCATATAATAACATTTGACAAATTGAATGAGAGCATATTATTTGGTAAAAACATTTATTTATTAGAGTAAATGATAATAAATGTTTTAAAATATTATTAATTTTATTAAATACTACACTTTTACTCTTTAATTAATATGGAACAGCAGAGGTATACAAATGAAAAATAGAAGAACATTTCATTTCTCTAAAGAAAAATATTGAACTTGGTGATTTGGTTCACGAATTTATTAAAAAATGGAAAGCAACGCCAATTTACTTTTGGGAAAAGAGGGAAAGAGTAGACGAAATAGCGTTGAGTAAAGTAAACAATGTGGAACTCAAACAAGCTACACATGGTTTTTTATTTATTTCTTTTTTTGGCTAATTAATTAATTAGATGTTAATTACTTCATAAGCATGTTACTTATTGGTTGTCAACAGCTGTGCCCGAACCTTCCTACAATGAATTTATGTTCCTATGAACATTGGTTTTTGAATTAGGCTGTTCTACTTTTTACCTTTTTTGGTCTACAACTTTTAGAGTTTTAGTTAGTTAATTGGATGCCTAATCACTCCTACAATTACCTTCTTTCAATAAGGTTAATGGAAAAAAATTAGTGGATAAATAGATGGATTAATAATTTAATAGAGTTTAAAATGCAAAACTTGGTTTGAAAATAAATCTTAAAATTACAATAAGAATTTTGAGCAGTACACTTTAATATCATTGGCTATGTCAAATTAATTTAGAATGTGTAATGTTGATTGGTTTGAGAACCAATGAACCATCATTTATGATATGTTGTGTGTACTATTTCGTACTTTAAAATTCCCATCTAGATGAAATTTAATCTGTTCAAACTACAAAGTCCATTATAATTTTCTAGCCATACTTCATGTTAAAAAAATCATAAATAATTATGTTTTATTCCAAACAAATGTAACAGTTTCATCTTAGGATTTTTTTAAAAGAATTTAGAATAGTATATATTATTATTATTATTATTATTATTATTATTATTATTATTATTTTTATTATTATTCTGTAATGTTAATGTGTGGCTTGAGTTTGTTTTTGCGAATGGATACCCGACTTGAAAGAAAGTGAAGAAACTAAAAATGTTTGGATTTATGCTCTGCCCTATAATAGGAGGTTTTACGGATATAAATATTGGTAGCTAGATATTACAATGTAATCATTTCAAACAATATGTTAATAGAAGAATTCTCTTGCATTTGTTTGTGGACGTAAGTTATATCGATCGAACCTATTATAAATAGTAGAAGGTTTTATAGATATAAATATTGGTAGCTAGATATTATTACAGTGTAATAATCCTTTCAAGCAATCTGTTAATAGAAGAACTCTCTTGCATCTGTTCGTGTACGTAACTCATATCTATCGAACACGTTAAATCATTGTATCGTTTTTTTGTTTTCTATTGCTTTCTTGTGTAACATATATTTTAGTTATTTGATCGCTAAATAATTTTTAAACTACGTATATATGTAATAAATAATGGAAATTTGTATTTTGTTTTTTATACGAGAGATTAATTAAGTTAATCCATCATCTATTCTCGTTTAATTCCATAAAATATTTCACATACGATTAAAAAGTTAAAAAAAAAAAAAAAAATTGAATGTATTTTTATAATTTTTTTTGAAACTCTAAATCATCCATAAAAAAGCTTTGTGGTAATTCCAGTTACGTCAACCTCTCGATCTCATGTTCAATAATTGCGAGGAAAACCACATACCAAATCACCAACCTTCGGAAATTACATAGAGAAAGAATTAAAAAACAAAATAAAAAAGTGCACCACCAATTTTCTTTACCTTAACATGAAAGGATGTCTAGTCATCTGCGTACCTTCTATTTGTCTTTAAATATCCCCCCCTTCTCACCACCATTTGCTCAACAATTTCCCTCTCCATCTCAATATCTCTCTCACCCATCTATATCTCTCTAGAAGAACACGAAAACACTTCAAAAAATGGAACAAAATCTACCAGTTTTAGCAAAGAAAGTATGGAGCTTAGTTCGAGTCGTGTACTTCATGCTACGTAAAGGCATATCCAAGAAGAAGTTACTGCTCGACCTCAACAGGATGATGAAGTGTGGTAAGATCGCCGGAAAAGCCTTGCATAATCTCATGTTCCACAACCACCACCACCACTGGCCGGCGCCTTCCACCACCAACCGCCCTTCAAGTCACCTCTCCAGCCCTTCTCTTCCATCTGGTGAATACGAGTTCAGCTGCTGTAACAGCCCTTCTGTTAGTAACAATGCGTTCTCTTTATTTTCATTCAACAAGAAACACCATTCTAACAATCACCAGGCGGAGGGTCTTGACATGATGGCTTTCAATGCGGCGGTGCTTAAGGCCGTGGAGATGATTCACAGTGAGACGGCATCGCCGGCTCTTCCAGGGTTTGGGAGGAGTCCGATGGTGAGGCAACTTAGAGTAACCGACTCTCCCTTTCCTTTGAGTAGCGTGCATGATGACAACCAGGTTGATGAGGCGGCGGAGCAGTTCATAAGTAGGTTTTACAACGACCTACGGCGGCAAAACACCAAGGCGTCTTTTGGTTCATCATTTAATTAAGATGTATAAAATTTATTTCGATTGTTGTGTACATTGAGACCTCATGTTTGTGTATGCAAGTATATACAGTTGATGCAATAAATCTTTATATATATGAAATTAATTAGAATGTTCTTTTTGTAATGTTCTAACTAGAAACATGAATCATTATCAAGTTCTAATGGTGAATGGTGATCACCTTATACTAAGCATTTAAAAATTGAGTGGATTGACGTTCGAAACCTACATATTTCACTCTTGTTGTGAAATTTATTTAGGTTCAAAACCTACATGTTGCAACATTAGGTGATCTGCATTTAGAAGAAAAAAACATACACAAACGTTTGAAACCTAGATATTTCAATCATTTGATTTTTTTTAATAAAACGAGTTTTAAATTTTAGTTGCAAAAAAAGTAAAAAACATATGGTTCCATAGTTTAAAACAGGTTATAAAAATACTTTAAATTATTTTTGTATTGAATTACGTCCAAATATACCAATGTATAGAGTTTTGGTTAAAATGAGGATGTTGTAATCAATTTAATCTCTACTCTCTAATCCTAATAAAAACCTCTCTAAAGTGCCACATGTCATTCTTCTACACAAGCTAATTACAAGTGTCATTTTCTCTATTTTCCACATAAATTTATTCCCGCCCAAACCATTCCTAATATCTTAGGGTCCATATTAATTAATTAAAAATCCACTTATTTAGGTAGGTCGTTCAAATTTTGAAACAAAAATCTCATCCTAATTTAAGATTGTAATTAAACTCACAAGGCATTAAATCCCTTATACCGTTTTCTTCTTTACCATCCACAAATCACGCCTCTATCTCTCAAATTTCGCCTTCTATGGTGTGGAAACAAACTAACCGGTGATACGAATTCAAAGTTTAAAATACCAAAATCCCGTAGGGTTTAATCTTACAGCATTTCCTCTTCTGCAATCTGCCCAAAATCTTCTGCTAAATGACAACCCATGTATTTTTTCCCCCCAAAATCATAGTCTAAAAGGGTTTTCTGCTTTGGTCTAACTCAAATGTTTTCATAATTTTACAGCATCCCATTAAAATCTGTTCAAAATATGTTTCAGGTTTATTAAATGTGATTGGATTTCGATTTTTGAACATTGGGACTATTGCGAGGGAAATAAAGGAATGGCTATGGGTGTTTTAGCAAGAGGTGCATTCGTTGTCCCCTATTTCTAAGTAGACATAAAAAAGTCTGTTTTTTTCATAGTATGAAAATGAAAACCATTAAGCCTAACATATTCAATGATAATCTTTATTATAGAAAAATATAGAAAGAATAGCTAGGAACCTTGAATTTAGAACAATTTTCTTGAGTAATATCAGCAAGTGCAAAGTATAATTCAGAAGGGAGTAGTTTAGATCTTTTTATGTGAAACTGATTTTTAACAAATTGTCTCCAAATTCCCATTGTCCAATATTATGTTTTGGATCCCTAAGCCACTAAGCTTTTCAATGAAAGACTTACTTGATAAACATACTTCTTTGATAGATGTATGGCTCAATCATGCTCCTAATCTTCCATCTTATGTGAGGTATTTAAGATATTTATAATGGTTGCAACTTGCAAGTAATTTTGTGTTGATGATATGCTGTAAAAAATGTATTGAAGGGATTATTGGGTTGTTTCATCTCCTGCTTTTTCCTAAAACCAACGACAAAGAAGTAATGCATTTTATGAGATTAATTACATTTTTTACATTCAAAAAGTTCTATATTTGCACTTATTTTTATATATCTTATCATATTTAGCTATCTGTAGGTAATTTCAATGATAAAGATTAGATTTTTATATTGGAGAACTTTTGATTATTTAAAATTAAGGATAAAATTCAAATTTCCCATTACTCTTTTGTGTTTAGATGCATGGTTACAGCCACCAATCTACAATAAGTGGACAAATTTCAGTTTACAACTTTACCTATATTAAAAGTGACCAATATGTCTAACTTTTACTTGATATTACACATTAATTTTTTTTGTTGTGTATTTAATTTGTTGCCACAATTTTTTGATATATGTTTCAGTTCAACCCATTAATGAATATTATTGATACAGTTAAGTTTAACATAACAAACTTTGTATAAAAATAAATGTTTGCAAATCTCGGATTAAAGATTAGTATTGTTATAGTCTATGTGTTATATTACTTTGTCGCCCGTGTATTCCACGGGTTATAACCTAGTAATGATTATAAATCAAATGCGACATCACAAACTCAAGTATTGAAAATATTCATTGTATTCTAAGCAACTTTTAAATCTTCAATCTAAACACAAATCTATAAGTTAGGCAATTAAAATTTTTATATTAAAAATACCTGAAATTTACTCATTTATAATAATGATGATGCCAATCATCATACTCAAAATCGACCTCTAAAATGAATAATAAAATCAACAAATACCATAAATATTAATAAACGAAACATACCAAAGACAAAAGGTATATATATCCATATTCAAATCCAACTATATGAAACTTATAAACTAGATTCAAGAGTTTAATAACTCAAAAGTTTTTATCTAAAAACGTATTAAGCAAATCCAATCTCAAGAGCTTACTAAACCATAATCCATAACAAGAGAATTAGAATTTTGTATTCCAAAACCAATGCTTAATTAACTTATAATTCCAAATAAAATGTTTAATTTTTAATAAAACAAACCATAAAGAGATAATTCATAAAATGATCGACCCAATTATAAATAAAAGGGTCTTAATACCCATATCTTCAAACACAATCAAAGGCTAAATATTAGTTAGCAAAAATTAACTAATCATATCCAAAATTTTAAAGGGTAAGCAAGTAATAATATACAATACACACATCTATTCCCATCCTTCTTAATATCATAGTGTAACTCCCTGATAGCTTAGTCCTTAAAAAGAAAGTAGGTGCAACAATGATAGAAATATTATGGTGCAACAATGGTGTACAAATTTCAAGCAAGACATGTTAGAAATAGGTGCAACAATGGTGTACAAATTTCAAGCAAGACATGTTAGAAATATTATGGTGATTATAATGCTCAAATGATTGTAGATAAAAGGGTTAATAACCTAAGAGAGTAAAAAAAATTTGTCTTTGTCCTTATTTAGGTAATAATGTTTTTCCATACACATTTGACCATTAAAAATGTTTGACCTGTTCAAAGTAGGGTGATATAACTGTAATTACAGACGACATTACCTTATTATGAACAATCAAACAAGTTTAGTGGTTAAATATATACGAAAAAACATGGTTACCTAAATATGTATAAAAACCAAATATTTTTACCCGTTTTTGTAATATTAGGTTTATTATGCTAAGTGCAAGTAGTTATAAAATCCATTGATGTGAGATGGAAGCTGGTTATCGAGTATTGGTGTTGGCTTTGGAGTATGTGTCGTTAACGTGTTCCTGACTTGATTCCTAGCTGCCATCAAAGAACAAAACCATTAGAACCATCTCAGTGATAATGTCCTAGGAGCATGCTCCAACAGTTATGTTAGATCAATGTGTATGGGGAGATGGTTTCTCTTTGATGGAGAACCATCTTGGTGGGAAGAGTGTATGTATATAGTGGACTCTTATGTCTGAGAATGAAAGATCATCCTTATAGAGGAGGAGGTGTTCTATTTATAGATGCAGGTCACTAGACAATTAGGTTAGGCTTAGGCTAGATTAGTTAGTCGTGGACTAGCTAGGCCTAAACTGGGCTGGGCCAAGACCTGACTATCTCCTCATACACCATCAATCTAAATTGATCGCCAAAGCCTTCTCTCGGGTTATAATCCCTGAGGCAGTCTATAGGTTTAGATCTCTGATGGCAACTAGGAATTAAGTTGAGAACTCACTAACATCACCTACTTTAGATCAACAATCCAGATTTGACACAAAGACTCGTTGGCCCAATTCCTTGTCACATCATATTGTCTTATGACTACTTCCACTTAGGATAAAGAACTCAATATTACCGAAATGGATAAGGAACTTTGGTTTTTGACCACAATTAGGCAACCATTTTTTCATACATATTTGACCATTAAACTTGTTTGACATGTTCATAATAAGGTAATATTATCGGTAACTACCTGTCATATTACTCTATTTTGAACAAGACAAACAAGTTTAATGGTCAAATATATACGAAAAAACATGGTTATGTAAATATGGACAAAGACTAAAGTTTGTTACCCTCCTAGGTTATTAATCATAGATATAATGAATGAATGGAAAAACACTACTTGAACTATTTATATGACTAGAAATATGAAAAATGTGTTGAATGCTATATTTTAGGAAGATGAGACAAACAAGGCATATTATATAGAGTTCAGACATGTCATATATCTTGATGCAACATTTCAAACAAGCATTTAAGTTGCTTTTTGTAATTTACTTGTGAGTATAACATTTTTAATAATCAAGAAAATAATTTTATTATTATAATCACATGTAATTAAGTGATATATTCACTTCTAAATATAGTTATTAATTTGTATTAACCAATTTTTTTTATTAAAAAGGTACAAAATGAGTTTTGTTTACTTCGCTACCCTTAATCACCATAACTGATATGGTATTGTTGAAGCATGATTGCTAAACAATGAGACTATCATCTCATATCAATGGTTGCTTGAAGTCAATCTTAAGGCTCATGGAAAACAACCTTTATTACTGTTAATTAACCAAGATCTAAGTTCTAACAATTCAATAAGCTATTTAATTTATATTTTCTATTTCAAACCAATGGTTATACATGCGTCATACAATGCATAAATTACAGTCACATGTAATTTGGCTGAAACTAATTGTTGTTTTCATTATGAACATATGAAAATGCCTTTTATAATTCAAGAGCAAAAAAGCATAACTAAGAAACTTATATGCATGTGATGATTACGTGTTAATATTAATACATGTGATTAATGATGTAATAATTACAAGTGATTAATGATATTATTCATGATTTCACATGTGTGTACGTATAATACTAACA